TATCTTTGTTCATGCATATCTAACATATCTCAAGGTATTATTTGCATCATTATTTCTGAATAATGATGTACTCAAAAGTTGCAGGATTCCACATACAAATTATACCATCACAATGGTTCAATGATGAACAGAAAGAAAATACTGTTATAGAACCTTGTTGTTTTACAAACCAGGATTCTGTGAAAAATCTATTTGATGAAATAGTTCTGTTTCGAGATATATATTTTGTAATGCATTATTTTGTAATGTATTATTTTAGAGCATACTATTTTGGGATGTGTACAGATTAAGTTAAAATATAATTTTAAAAAGATAAAATTTTTTAGTCTTGTTAAAGTTGATTTGATTTTAATATATATTTTTAATTTTAATATAAAAAGTGTTATATAAATTGTAATTATTTTGTTATTAAATAATTTTAATTTTAAATCTAAATATTATATAAATAGTAAATATTTAGAAACTATTTTGTTAATAGATAGTTTTAAAATTTTATATTAATAATAACAAATTAGCAATTATTTTATTATTATTTTGTTATTAAATATAAAAAAATTATTTATAAAATATTTTTAATTTAGATTATAAATAATAAATATTTCAAAATAAAATTGTAAATTTAAATAGCAATCAGCTTAATACATAGTAACTATATAGCAACTAATATACTACTATTTTATATCTTAATTGTAATTTAATAGTTACAATAAATATATAATATAGGTTTAATTTATTTACAATTAGTTATTATTTAATATATTTCAGTAAAGTTAGTTAAAACAAAATATTTATAATTTTGGTAATACTAATATGATTAAAAATTGTAAGATATTTATACAATATATAAGTTATATAAAAATATGCAAACTAATACTAAATAATACAAACTTAAATTTTTGTAATCATATAAATTTAAAGAAATAGAAAGATAGATACCTACTTAGCAAGATCTAAGTAAAAAAATAATACAAAATTAAATATAGCTATTAAAATAAACTATATTTAAAACTAGCACAATTAAATAAGTACTAGATATTTAGCAAGAGTAATTGGTCAATTAGGCACTAAAGTAATAATTAAAAAATAATCTACTAAATAGATATTAGAGAACTGGTATTTTTTAAACAATCTAAATTGGTAGTTTAAAGAGATTAATTAAAAAATAATAAAAGTAAAAATGATTAGATAGGTTTAACGAGAAGTACTGAAATTTAAGTAAACTCTAATGAGTAAAGTAGAAAATAATAGCAAAGTTAAAAGACTACAAGTATTAGCTCTTATAGTCTTGGTTCAAAAAACGGTTCTTTATCATTTAAATAGGTAAATCTAGAGGTGCAGATATATTTACGTAATAAAGTCATAACTAGGTCGTAACTATATAAAAAGGGATTTTTTTATGTAAGTTACGCCTAGTGTGTAAATATGTCTGCACCTCTAGGTAAATCTCATTATTTCGTTGGTTAACTGAAAAAAGTAAATCATATGACGCTGGTAATCGAAAATAAGTGATAATGTAACACATTTTTAATAATTTTTTAACTATTCATAAAAACCGGATCAGGACTATCTAAGATCGAGGACCGAATAACCACAAAACCGGTTAGTCCTAAAACTTTAAAATTGCAACTACTTAATTTAAACAGGTATAAACACCTTTAGTAGTAAAAGATTCAAGTTTAATGTTTAAATTTTTACTGCGTTTTGGATTGTTAATTGTAACATAAAGTTTTGATGTTTTGATTTAAACCCTAATGAGTTCAGGTTTGTTAATAATAAACATCATATTTACGTGCATAAATCTATTCTCAAATGCGTATGTGCATTTATAAGCAGTTAGTTTATTTTTAGTTTATAAGCATCTTTATATGTACGTACGTATCAAGTTTTCCTTATTTCTATAACGTCTTTATCTAAAGTTTTTTTCTTTATTTCCATTAGCCAATCAGACTAATTTTTTTCTATGAGGCTTGAGTGCTGCAGATGCCAGGTGGCACGCACCAAGGCGCAATTACTAGTTAGAACATTTGAAACCTAACTGTATCCCCCTATAAAAAGAAAGAGAGATACAACATACAAATAGCGGTAGTGCATTAAATAGGGTAAATTTAGAGTTTCGAGTCTAGTTACGCAGAACAACTTTGTGTAATAATAATAACTCCGGGTACGTTCTGATCCAAAACTAGTTTAGCATTTCACAATACCAATATTTGACACCAGATGCTAACTCAAATTAATGCACTCTTACGTCAATTTTACATGTCAATTTTTTATAATCTAACTTTAGTGGGTGGGTTTTTTTTTGCTAAGCCAGGTGCTAAACCATTGGCTTAAGTGACAAGCTAACAGCTTTGCTTAATCTTTTTTTTTTTCAAAAATTTAACTTGTATTTTTTACGTTCATTTTCCTTTTTCGAAATTTATCTTACTAAAAGCCAATTAAATCCTAAAGCTAAGCATTATAATTAAATGATTTTTTTTTTAATCGACTCAATCGATCTGCTTATAACATTAAACTGAGCAAATTAAGAAATTTAAGCATAAGCCATGATAATTTAAAATACGTAAAAAAGTTTATTTTTTTTCCTTTTTCCAAATAGGAAATTTTTTATAGCATTATTTTGTTTATAATACATATTTTTGACACGTAGTGATATTAAATAGAAATCATATTAATATGAGAGAATTTTGATATATAAAAATTTGTCTTGTGGCTTAGGTCGATATTAACGAGGTTGATATTAACCACTACGTTAGGCTGTGTGAGGCTAATGTAGCAACCCTAAGCCTTCCATCCAGAGGATAAGGATATAAAATATATAAAAGTCACAAATGTTCAGTTAATAAAAGCTCGCGATGCTTTAAGAGGTTTCCGATTATTATAAAAATGAGCGTAGTCGGGTCAAATAACGATAAAAGTATGCGTATTTTGAGTGTTTCCGATCAATAAAAAAAAAAAGAAAATTAGAAATAATAAAATTAGCATAATAATAATAATGTTGTACCTCTCGTTAATTTTCAATTATTGTTAATAACCGAGTTCCACTCGGATAGATAACAGATAACGATAAGAGATTTTTTAGAATTTAATCCAGAGTTACGACTGGAGTTAACCTGAGATAATCTCCCGAACGTCGTAATAATGGAAAAAAGAATGATTGGTTTAATTTAAAAACATTGTCGTTATTGTTAATGGCAAGTTAATATTCAATGAAAATAGTTAACTAAGCCCGCTAAGCCATATTAGTGAGGTGTCCGTGCATAAATTGCAGTTCAGAATAGCCCGAATGACTTAATGATACCCGGATAGAGACTTTCTAAGGGATGCGATCTAAGCCAACCCAAAATTATCGATTCGTCTAAGCCTATAAATTTCAGATCACCATTCAAGATTAAGTATACGTATCAGAATTTTGTAATTAGATTCACAAATTACTAATAAAATACTAATAAAGGGTTTGGTTAATAAAGTAACAATAACAATTAGAGGAATCTGACAAACACTGTTAACTTTCTATTAATAATCAATCGTCTCAATACCCCCGAGTACTAATTATCCTGTTATGCCAAGAAATAGTGAATGCCTACGTTTCATTGACACAGACCTGATATAGATAATGATATCTATATTGCGAGATACATTATCTAGACCTTATTACAATCATGGTTTTATCACAAACCGTGATACGTACGTACTACTTGCTACTATTTACATCATATACTGTACGTACGTACGTAACAGAGGTTTAATAACATTATTAATAAATTCACGAGTATGTCCTACATGCATTATATTGCAGAGTTTAATTTGGCAATCATTAAACGCAAAAGGAATTAGACAGGTAGGGCGGTAGGTACGTACGTAGGTAGGTAGGTAGGGTACGTAAATAACCTTAATTCATTTAACTTTTCAATTGCCGTACGTAATACGTAACAAAAAAAAAAATTTTTTATAGGCTGCAATTTGTGCACTTACTATAAAAAGTCATTTTCGGAATTTGAATGGAAAACGGTACTTATAGGACTATACGCACGGCACGGTATGTAAATGTGTCGAAGTTTCCAACTTTGTATGCACTTTATATGTGCATATAAATTTACATAGGAAGGTTCTATTTAGATATTTTTAACAAGGAGGGTAAATATAATATGTGAAAAGAAGAAGAAAAAAGACCTTCGGTTAACTGTCTCACTGTGTGTTGCAGTTTAATATAATGAATTAAATGCAACAATGCTACCCAGCATATGTCCCACCGCATGTGAGCAAAAATGTAAATTGCTTTCTCCATGTTTCACCTTTTAGCTTTGACAAGATTACCCCTGGAATTCGGCGAAAAGATCAAAGTAGAGAGGATTAATAAATGTTTTGTTTTCTTATTCTAGGCTTTACACATTGGTTTCACAAATCTATTATACACGATTCGTCTTATTATAGTACCTTAGTTTGTTTATATGCTACATTTAACTACAGAATATATTAACATTTTAATCGATGACATGTTGCAACAAATATCCGGAGGAAACTTGACGTTTGTATCACTATCCATGTAATTCATTTTTTTGGCAGTTGTTTCAATGATATTGCACACAAGAGATCCTTGATAGGTAATAACCAGCCAGTTAAAGCGAAATATATATATATATATATTTGTATTTTTAGTGTTCTGTAGATTAAGTTTACCTCCTTATAAATACCCCTTACTTTTTCAGCCTAATCGTTGGAACGTGTTAATACATGCTAGTACAATAGTATAAATATTGTCTCTAATCCCTCGAAGATTGAATTTCTTCCTTACCCATTTTCTCAAGATCGAAAAGAAAATAAATTATAAATCATATATAAATTATATTACGACAACCATGAAGCCCCTTAACTTTGCCTCATTTTTGCTTACGGCCCTTTTTATTCTAGTACCAAGTTCTATTATAGCTGTACTTCCTGGAACTTGGCCTCCAATAAATGCACCTCCTCCAGCAAATGCAAATTTTACAAGACTTGTAAATATGACTAAAGTTAGAAATGCTCCTGTTAGAAGTATAAATGCTACTTGTCCGACTACCGACACATACTGTCATTGGACTTGCACTACTTGTACTCGAAACGATACTGATATTATTCGCTGTCCTAATCGACTAGATTGGGGTCTTACTTTAGATGATGGCCCATCGTAAGTTGGATAAAAAAATACTGCTTTTGTAATAATCCTTATTTCAAAAATACTAGATTTTCATGTATATATATATATGTATTTTTTTTTTCTTAGTCAATTCACAACTGCAGTTCTGGACTATTTAGACACACAAAATGTCAAAGTAACATTTTTTGTTATCGGATCTAATGTATATACAAATCCTGACATCTTAATAAGAGCTTTTAAAGCTGGTAAGTTACATTCCTAATTTTATTGTAATTATATTATAATTGTTATTTTACATCAATATTTTATCAATATTATCAATATTATATCAAATATTAAAAATCGGTCAATTCTTTAAAATAAATAGGCCATCAAATCGCTGTACATACTTGGTCACATACAGCACTAACTTCTCAAACCAGCGAAGTAGTTATTGCCGAACTTATGCATACTAGTGCTGCTATAAAAAATGCTACTGGTTTTACTCCTAAATATATGCGTCCACCATTCGGGGATTACGACGATCGAATTCGTGATATTGCCACTCAACTTGGTATGAAACCAACACTTTGGGATTTAGATACAAACGATTGGATGTCTGCCGAGGATGCAACTTTCAACATAAACTGGATCACTGCTAACTTTACTCAATGGGTTAATGATCCAAACCTCAAAACTACTGGTCATATCTCCCTCGAACACGACTTATATAATCAAACCTCTGCGCAAATTCCTCTAGTCGTACCAATTCTTAAGAAAGCTAATTATACTATAAAGCCTGTTTATCAATGTCTTAACGATCCATCTCCTTACGTTGAGAGTCTAGTAACGCCTACACCTGCAGCCACCACTGCTCCACCTCCAAGAGCTGCTACTCCAACCGATAACCCTATTAAAAGTACACCAACTCGGAATTCCGAAGCCCCATCTCAAACTCAAAAATCTGGTGCTACAAAAATACTCAACAACGATCTTTTATCTTTGAGTTTTGTTGTTGTTGTATTATTCGGATCCTTATTTTATTAAACTAATATAATTAATATAATTAAATTTTGTGATTATATTATGTTATTAAAAAAATATATATATATTTCACTTTTAATGTACTTTGTGTTTAATGTACTTTTGTTTTCTGATTAATTTACAAATTTATTTTATTTATTGTATAAAAAGTAAATATTACACATGATCATGTTGTATGTTGTATTAAATAAATTTAAATTGTTTTTCTCTATACAAATTTAAATAATTGTTCAATTTTTAAATCATTATCGATTCGTGTATTTTTTATTATTTTTAATTTTGATTTTCCTTATCTCATAAATTATTGTAACCAATAAAATTTATTAACGTTAATATTAAAATTTTTTTTAATATTTTACTGTTACTTATCTGATTTTCTTCCAAACTTCATTTTAATTGAGATACATCAATCAATATATATTTAATTACAGTAACGGTAAATTGGTATTAAACTCGACAATTATTATTAATTTGGTAATCAAAGGAAAATCAATTAGTAACTGCATTTGGACATACCCGCATGATGCAGTTATTTATAACAATAATTTCGTAATCGGTGTTTGTTTACCCGAAATTCTAATCCTGTAACGGCAATCAGAGTATTACATGTATAAAAAGTATAAAAATCATTTCTTTATTCGGTATATTTGTGTTGTTGTATGCAATGAACAATACATTCCCCCGTAAATAAATAACAATAGAACCGAATTTGTATAATTATATTCTATTTCGACAAATTTTCTTTGATGTAATTATCTTTTACATACAGCAACAGACAAATTTGAAAGAAATTTCTTTATTAATCCTTCTTGAGTATATTATTATTCCTTCTTGAGCATCTTATTATTATTCCCTCTTGAGTATATTAATTAATTACTCCCATTTTAAACCAATCGATTTTAAGTTATAAATCATTATTTTTAATCCGTTATATTAACTTTTTGCAACTCCGGTATATTTCAGGTTAATAAAAACCGGTTCTAATCTATCAGAGTAACGAATCACTTTTATTGTTAAATCTGCACAATCTGCACAATCTGCACAATCTGCACAGATCTATCTAATCTAAGTGGCTTTGTTCCTAATATTCTTAAACTCACATCTGTCTATCACTCCGTTGACGATCATCAAAGCCCTTGTTAATCTCGCATTTATTTAGGTACGTACAAATCTTCGTTCCCGATGTTAATATTTGCTCTTGATGTTCGATGTTAAGGGCTGTTTCGGCAAAGCAAGTTAACTCCTATATTTATTTGGTAAAAAAAAAAGCATGTATGAATTATATAAATATAAGAAAGCACGATCATAAAATAGATTAGCGTTAAATATTAAAGATGTGACAACTACTCTCCACATCCTATCGGGTTCTTCCCCTTTATTACAGTATTATGGAAAGCAACTTTAATACGTTTTATTATATATAGTAAAGTTATAAAGTATGCATGCATATTGATTGAATTATAGTAATTTTATAAAGTATGAATGCATACATCTTGATTGAATGATGCATGCATCTTGATTGAATGAATGAATACGCCTCCTGAAAATCTTGAATGAATGTATGCGCCTCATCAAAATATGAATTTGTGCTTCAGTAAATTTTAAAAAACCGTGGCGATAGACAGGAAATTAATAATGTAACGATCAGAAAAAAATATTAACTATGTATAGTTAGTGTGGAGGTTCATACGTATTTATAGATTAAAACATTTAAAATAATTATAAATAGCAAATAATTATAAATAGCGATAGTTTAATTAATTATTGGAAGGACTGTTTGAAATTCCATAAACATGTCAATCAGAACGTTCATTACGTTAGAGATTGGAATCGATGAGTTTCGAGAATTGATTGGTTTCAAACTCTAGATTTTCGAGCATCGGTAAAAAATTTTGACCGATGTTCGAATGTTCATTGAGCATTAAAAAACACAGAAGAATTTAGTATAACATGAAATTTATCAATTGTAACCATTAACGCAACATTACTTAATTATTGCGCATTATAAAGTACTATTACCGCTACATTATTTAATACATGATTTATAATTGCGATTTATATTATGCATTAATCCTAGACATCAAGGACAGTAAATTCATTTGTTTTCATATTACGCTTTAGAAATACCATTCTGCCAAATAACTTTGGCAATAACGTTGTTTTCGCACTCATAACATTTCCTACATCTGAAAACAAGCACTCACTTGGTGTGCTTGTTATGCTTGTTGTACTTGTTGTGCTTATTGCAGGAATTGCAAGAAATTTTCGGCCATTTCACTTAAAATCGGAACTAGCCGTTTTTTTTTTAAAGACCAGCACACCATGGAATCTCTCTCGAAATCAAGCTCAGGAAGAGTAAGATAATTTTTAACTTCGTTATTATCTTGGTTTTGTGAGCTGGTAAGTTTGCTTGTCATTTCGACTAGTTACAGAACTAAATTGGATGTCGATGAAGTAATTTGTTTAAATAAATAGTGCCACTTCTTAAACTCTGCATACATAGCACGTAAAGTTTCTTTGCTCATCAGTCGATAACACATGTAATCTTTTGCAATTGAGTTTTCTAATGTCATTTTGAAAAAATTTATTAATAAAATTTATAAAATTGTTATTTATTAATCAATCAAATCTTATCACTATCAATGATTGACTGAGTTTAAAACTCAATGAATGAAGTTTATTTCGATATTCGAAATTTTCGAATAATTATTCAACGATTCCACATTCTACATTACGTTGAGATTTCAATAAGTCACGTGTAATAATTCAACTAATCCCCCGATCACTATATCAAGATCACGGGAGGATTAATTAATAATACCCTGACTGTATGTGAATAAGCGGAACGAAGTTTCCGCTAATTCCCAACGGATCAGGATATTATTATTACCAACAATAACGGTAATAGAATCATTGTTTGTTTAAATTGACCCCTTCTCCCCCCTGCCGAAAAAGTTGAATCGGTTTTACAATATCCAATTCGGTTGTAAACTCTGTATAATATCCACTTCTATTGTAACCATAGGCAAACCGGTTTTAAACAATAAAGTTCTATTTTTGTATTACCGATACGTATCATAAAAGAATACTAGAGGTAACAATAATTTAAACTTTTCATTTTATCCAATCAGGATTATTATTGATTAAATAATAAAAAATAAAAGTTATGCATTGCACACATCCAATTAAAAAAATTTAACTCGGTTTGGCTTATAATATTACCCGATTTTTCACTTATATGCATATCCAATCGTTTTTTTGAATTTATACGTATGTACGTACGTACGTACGTATTAATATTTTTGCGCTATTCACTGAGGTAATGTAACCCAGGCCTTCCTATAATATCATATTTATAGACTGATGTTGCATCGGTATAATTTAGGGTATATTGCTGACTGATTAATTATAGTGTATTACCATCGGTATGATACATTCCTTGCTTTTTTTTTAGTTTTTCATAAACCAAAATGGAAAGAGAAGACTTAACAGAAGAGCGATTAAAAAAAGATATTAATCAAATTGTTGATGATTTTATTCAATTAAATTTTATTGATTGTCAAAAATTGGCAGACGAGAACGATTCAGATGGAATGTACTGGCTTGGATATCGTTACGAATATGGAATTGATGTCGAAAAGGACGAAAACAAGGCATTTATTCATTATCAAAAGTCAGCAGAAATGAACAATTCTAACGGAATGTATCAAGTTGGCTATTGCTATTATTTAGGAATTGGTGTTGAAATTGATAAACACAAAGCATTTGTGTACTATCTCAAATCAGCTGAGGAAGGTAATTTGATGGGAATTTTTAAAACTGCCATTTGTTATAGATATGGAATTGGTGTAAAAAATAATTATGATGAATATAGAGAATGGATTAATAAGTATGTTCATTTTGATATTTTTTTATTATAGTACTTTGTAATTTATTAATTTGAAATTGGGAATAACCTCATCAAACTTTAACTATCATATCAGGGAGTAAGCGTTAAGAATATTTTTTTAATCACCATATCTAACATTTAAGCTCATAATTGTTTATTATTGGTGCCAATTCAGCATGTAAGTACAAAAAACGTTTAGTAATAAACAAGTTCACAATACAAGTACATAAATACTTATTTACCTTTACGTACAAATCATTCATTCGCATTAATTTAGTTAGTGAGTATAAAGAACATTTATTAATTTTAGAAATAAAAACAGCAAAACAAGTTCACAATACAAGATCATAAATACTTATTTGCCTTACGTACAAATCCTTTCATTCGCATTAATTTAGTCCGTGAGTATAAAGAACATTTATTAATTTTTAGAAATAAAAGCAGCAAAACAAGTTCACAATACAAAAACATAAATACTTATTTACCTTTACGTACAAATCATTTCATTCGCATTAATTTAGTTAGTGAGTATAAATAACATTTATTAATTTTTAGAAATAAAAACAGCAAAACAAGTTCACAATGCAAGAACATAAATACTTATTTACCTTACATACAAATCATTTCATTCGCATTAATTTAGTCGGTAGGCATAAAATTAATTGCATTTCAATATAAAGTTCAAAATCAGTGAAATAAATATTTTATAATAATTTATAGAGATTCTAAATATGGAAAATGTGCAAATTGTAATGAATATAACACATGGGAAGCATGGTGTCAGACATGCGATCCTGACATAACTATTCAAGGATGGACAAGTGGAAATAAAAAGATTGATAATCGTATGAAAGCATTTCAACTTAGAACCTATACTTATGATGGAATGATTGAATGGATTCCATTTGATAGACTAATTAATGTTGAAAAAATCGGTGAAGGAGGATTTAGTTCTATATTTTCTGCAACCTGGTTAGATGGTGTACGAGAGATTAAAAAAATTGAGAAAACTTATAAGAGAACGCGCAAACCATCTAGCAATGTTGCACTCAAGACCTTGTCTGGTGATGATTTTTTGAAAGAAGTAAGTTTAATCATTATTATATAATTGTATAGTTTATTAAGTGAACTAATTTATATAAATTTATGAAGTTCGAAAGTCTTACAAAATGTAGACTTTGGGGTAGTAAGCTTAAAATATATGGATTGACTCAAAATACTGAAACAAATGAATACTTTATGGTATTTCAATACGCAGACAATGGAAGCCTTTATAAATTTTTAAGAAAAAATTTTCGAGAACTTAACTGGCAGACTAAATTAAAATTACTTTTGGATATTTCGAAGGATTTATATAATATTAGAACTGGCCAATCTGGAAATGCGTACGCCTATGGATTGTTTTCAGGATACGGATCGTTAAGTGATTTGAAATTACAACCTGTATATATTTCTTCGGTCCCTAATGTAAGTATCATAAATGATGAACTTTACGGTGAGATGGTATAATTATTTAATAACATTTACGTCAAAAATTATCAAGAGCCACGATACAGAATTGTTCATGCACAAAGCATGTCCTTTATGGCTCGCCACAGTCAAGGGCAGCAATTTTACTCGTAAATGGCAAGAGGAGAAATACCTTAATACATTTATATCAAATGTTTCCCGGAGACTTAGCGATCGATTAAAAATTGAGCCACCTTTAGATCCCATTCATATTAATTATATTTATCGCGCATGCTCATTTGCGGTGTCATTTTCTGATAAAAATGATACTTGGTGTAGTCTACTCGAGAAAGATGATTTTTTACAATTAGAATATCTACTTGATATGGGCTATTATTATTCCTTTTCTTACGGATATCAGCTTAATACCAAATTGGCTTGTCGATTTTTCACTAGTTTTGTAGAATCAGTAGAATCATATTTAACTGGACGATCACAAGTTAAAAGTACTTTGAAATTTGCACACGCAGAAACGATAATTTTTTTGACAACAATGTTGGTAAGTCTAAACACTTTTATATTAATGTTATCTAGAGTTTTTTCTAAAAAATATATATGTTCATTTACAGGGCTTGTATGAAGATGATTATCCTTTAACTGCTGATACTTTACCACAACAAATCGCATCGCGCAAATTTAGAACAAGCAGGTTGACCCCATTTGCAGCAAACGTTTATTTTGAGATATATAATTGTTCAACCAGGTATGACGAAGATCCTGTCTTTGGCACGACCCTTATTCAAATTCTGGTTAACGAAAAACCCACGGTGATACCTAAGTGCATTTACACTTATTGTCCGTGGAATATGTTCAAACGATTATTAGGTGATGCTATTAATTGCGATTTCGATGATATGTGTAAATTGACTCATGCCAAATTTGGTTTATCAATGCAATATTATGATTTTATAAACACCAATATTACAAATTTTGTTAATTTTTAATAAATTATGTTCATAAAGCATTATCCTTTATATCTTGCCTAAAATATGAAATAAAAATCATAATGCGTTAGTAGCTTACCTACAAATAAGGATGCTAACCATTAAAGGCAAGCTATATCATTTACAAATATGGCTGGGCCAAGGAAAAAAAATTGGGCACACCCAGGAGGCTGAGGCCATGCCATGCCCCTCTAAATATAGCCATTACTATGCTGCTACGTCTAACAACGCCTCCAAAATTTTGTATTTATATATAACAAAATTTAAAAAGAGTTTTCAAAATCACAGGTAATGTAACTTCTATATTCTTATTATTTTTGATTCTAATCTTGGAATTTGATAAGCTGCTGTGCAAAATTTTAGAAATATTCTTGAGGTAGCCGCTAGATCTTATAGTCAATTAGCATACTTCATTTACACGTGATCAGGATTCATAATCACATAATACGGGCATGCCTTTTGGCTCAAGGGTGTGCCAGTACTTGAAATTGGCATGCACAAGATGTATATGTGCAAGAGCTTATTTTAATGTGCAAATATTTTGTAAAAAATTTTATTTTTTTTTTTTAATCTTCAAAGGTTTTTGTAAAAAATTTATGCAAGTATACAAGTAAAATTTTTTTAAAAAAAATTGTACAAAATTTATGATATACAGTATATAAAAACTATATTTGTTTGAGAAAAGAATTACAACTATATAAGTAACTCTTTTTGTGGCCAATTTTTTATTATACTTCATCTTAGATATATTAATATTTTCTTTCTGTAATGAATTTTTTTTTAAATTGATGCGGTTAAACTCTAATTTTTAACCTACTTTTGACTGTAATGAGGAATTTTGTTGAAATAGATAAGGCATTAACTTGTCTATCGTTAGATATTTAGATCCATACTGTTAAGAAGTTAGTTAATATCGGCAATGTTACGTTTAAAACCTTTACAACATGCATTATATGCTTATTTAGATCTTTATTGCTATGTAATTATTAATAAATTTTGAATTATAAATAAAATACAAACAAATTTTAATATCTTTTTTAAACAGCTGAACATTACTTATTTCCACACTTAGTCATTGTAATTTTCAACCTGATACTAATAAGCTAACGGGAATATTTGCTGAAGCGGCATAGGTAGATTCGATATATTCAAAATTTATTTAAGTTTTAATTTGATGGTTTCTTATAATTATCGATTCACAATACGTAACTTACGTATTAAAAACGTGTCTTTAACAGTTTCTTTTTAATGACAATATCGATTATCTTTGCTAATTTGTTTATGTAGTGTAATCTTCTTTACTATTTTACGTAATTTGTATCGCATTCGTGCATAAGATCGTCAACTCTTAATCTATAAAAGGAATGATTTTCATCGGCCATTTTTTATAGCAAAGTGAGGAGACATATTTCAGATATAATTATGCCCTTATTTCGAGTTATGCCTAATAGGGGTATATGTCGACTCTACCTGTTATTATTTTTTATTATTTATAGTTGAATTTTATTGCAGAGAGAAAAGACAAAGTTTAGCAAGCAGGTTTCAAAGAAATAAGATAGAAAAGATGCCAGATATTATGCCATTAATGAAGTATAAAGAAAAAATTAATGAGCTTATAATATGTAGAATCCTCACGCATCGTTTTGCAATAATACTAAAAAGACCAAGTAAAGCTATGGAGAGAAATCCTGGATGGTATGGATTCTGTTAATGTGGCATGTAGACCGGTCAGAAATTAATTTGGTATAGTAGGCATTCAGATTGCTGGTGAGGATATATATCTGGATGTTCTTGTAAATGATGCGGGTGGCTTGTCTCGTTATTTTCATTTATACCATGCGGAAATCCCTCTCACACCACAAACACTATGAAGAGTAGAACCTCTCGTATATTTATTATTAACTCCAAGAGTATGTAACAATTTTTAGTATGATTTAACTTGCTTTTATTCTATTAACTGATATAACATATTGAAATCTTTAGTATAGAATATACTAATTTTGAATCAAAGCCTGCTTATGCAAGCATTAGAACAGGCCATTTCACACCCACCGCGTAATGTATCCCCGAGCAAAAGAGTATCATCACCATCTAGAGAAGAGAAGCAAAGAACAATTATTCAGTTTACTTTGACGTGTGCATTTTGTGAATTTATTTATTGTATTGTTATTGATGTATATTGATTTTATACCAACAATTTTTAGGATTCTTTAAAAATCCACCGATATGATTAATATACATATATAACTAAATTAACCAAAGTTCATTTCCGAAGTCTAGTTTACGTATACTTTCGATATAATTTTGCCACCATTCACCGAAGCGAAAGAAGTATTACTGTACTTCTAATTTTGAATATAAGATTTATTTTTCGGGGAAAATTTAAACTCAGTTACATAACTTTTTTATAAGGATATGCTTTTATTTTTACTATAGTTTTAAGAAAGTGCACTTGGAAAGTATTATGGTCAACCTTTCAAAATAAAGCGTTACAATATTGTATAGTTATTCAAATTGTATTAATGAAAAAGTAAATTTATAAAATCAATAATGCATTGTATTATTTGAATGACATCAGAAGTCTCATGGTTTGATCTTAATTTCTACAGAGATCCCCGTTGATACGTAAGTACCAATTTCTCATCAGAATATCCATTATATTAGATCTTTTTGTTGGTTGACCAAACAAAAAAATTTTTGATTTTTTAACTATCTTCTCATAAATTTTGAACGAAGGAATCTTAATAATATCTCGCTTATTTTCAATGTTCAATGCTTCTACAGATTAATGAAATTCTTAATATTTAAATTAACAAGGGATGTTATTGAGATATCTTCAAAAACACAGATAATACGTATTAAACTTTAATTATAATAGGATAAAGTTTGATTATTAATAGCAGATAGACTAACAGTTTTCTAGCCAATCATAGATTTGTATTTTAAAAATTCTTGATTTTCAGATTCCCATGTGGAGTGTGATGCTGGTTACAGACAGTAATTTGAAATATTTCATTGTGCTTGTAAAAAAAAATTATATGTCGCAGCTGATGCTGAAAACGGCTGATGCTGAAATTCGGATCTATTTTGATATGAATTTTTAAAATTTTTTTAGGGTGTTTTTTCCCCGCTTTTTTTTTATAGTTGAGTTAGTGTTTAGGGTTAGAATTGATAATTAACAAGTATATGTGGATTTTAGCAGGGCTTATATTTTTAAATCGAGACCCCAAATTTCAGCATCAGCCGTTTTCAGCATCAGCTGCGACATTATATAATACTTTAAGGTTCATTTTTTGCGCGAGATGGTATGAAGCATTTTTTTCTTACATATAAAAGAATGTTATTGCAATTATTATATATAAAAAGAATCATTATTTTTTACACCAGTGGTTATTAATAACCATAGTAACCATAGTAAGTTTCTATTACAATTTAGACAGTTTTAGGACATGGGTTTATAGAACATAATATAGGTTAGGTAAAAGGTCCAAATTTTAGTTTGCATAAGGTTTTCGAGGTCCTGAACATTTTTACTTGCATAGTATCCCGAGAAATATAGCACTCTGGTTATCAATAACCACTGGCACAGGTTAAAAATATTATAAAATTAGTAACAGTAACATGGGTTGTTGCATGGCAAATTCGTGATTAGAATATATGTATTTTATATGTTCTAAGACCCATATTACACACAGTATATATTAAAAATACCCAATGGAGTCAATCAAGATTCAGAGCAGGAACCCTAATAATCTCATTCTAAATAAAATATATTTATTTCGTCAGTTTTCTTACATTTTCAAATTATTGACAAATTGTCGACTGGTTTAGCCTTTTTTTTTTTTTTTTTGCTGGAATTTAGACGGCCTAGAAATAAAGGCATTTTCCTATATAATATACTATACATTATTTAAATTATTTAAATAACACTCGTACATATTTCATCTAGGTAATATCATATCGTTGCTAGAATTATTTCGTTATCTAACTTATCTAACTGGTATTCATTTTTCTTTGTACTAAAACTTTTTTATTTTCTTCCTCGTACCGTTTTGAGCTCATTCGTGTCCGTTGTAAGCATTTATCAAGCGACAAGAAGTTTTCAGACTTCTTAAACGATGCAATTTTGCTCGATACCGTAATAATAACATCATACCCAGTGACGTAACTTGTTTTTTATCATACGTAGTTGACCGTAAAGTTAGTATCGGTATATAAACGTAAAGCCCACCAATCTTAGTGAATAATCGATATCGAATCTAAATAATTTTGATTGGTTGAAATAAACGATATTAGCACGATTAAAACAAGCGATAATGATATTGTCAACATGTCTCACTTAGGCACTACAAACTCTTCTTTAAACGTTACAACTCTGAGAGAGTTGGCGCGAAAGGCTTTAAAGAATGTGCTTGATTCTGTATGCATTCTTCTATATGAGTAAAACATTAATGCTTAACACTGTTCGGTAGAAAAGTTCAACCCGCAAATTCAATATAAAATTATTCCTTTTCTACTGAACCATGTCCATGTAAATTAAAATCGATTTTAAAAGTAAAAAGACAATAAGCCTATAATTTATTATACGTAGGTGAGGGGAAAAAAATGCCTAGTTTTGGATCCCAACATAAGTGGACCTTTGAGTCTTATTGCTGAATTTTCACTTTTGAGGGTATTTATAAATTAATTTTGATTAGAATCAATGAATTAGAGCAGTGAATGAAATAACGAAGCGTGATTCAACTATTTATCGAAGGAACATGGTGTTGAAAAAGTACATTATCTTCAACAAGGGCCACTTGAAACCGAACTTCGAAGCTTGATTTATATTTGCAGACCACAATTAATTTATATGAAATATATAGCTGGTATAGATGAAATTTTCATGTTCATTTTTTTTCAATTGATTAAATAACAAATTTGTGGTACTTTGGCCGCTTTTCCAGAACACATCCAGCATCACCAAAATGAATACGTAGAGAACCCCGATGCTCAAAAGTATGAATATACACTCTTTTTTGTTCCACGTAGAACAATGATCTGTGAAAAAGTTTTAGAAGAAGCTGGGGTCTTTGGTGATATCCTTGATATTATGAATTTTATAGATTTTTTTATGAATTATCTGTTCAAAAAAGGTTCCTTGACTAATAATTTTACAGATCACAATTAATGAATATCACCTAGACCTAATACCTTTTGAAGATGATTTATTATCCTTGGAATTAGATAATACATTTAAGGATCTTTATCTGGTATCCCTTTTTTTAACTCAATCGATTTTTGGCATGGTTAATATAGTAATCATTTTTACTTGGAAATAAAAGGATGGTGATTATACTTCAATTTATTATGTGGCGAGAGCGCTCATGAAATTGCAGACATCATTTGGGTTATTTCCAAGAATAATAGGCAAGGGGGATTGTGCCAAGGTTTGAATTATTATATATGAATCTAGTTAGTAATCTACTAAACGGTTACTTATAAATACTCACTTTAATTTAGCATCTTGCTGATATGCTCATTCGTATGCGTCGTGAGGTTGCTGTAGATGATCCATCATCTTCATTATCGATTTCTCAAAGTGTAGATTCACTTATCATAATCGATAGATCGGTTGACCTCATAACACCTTTATGTACTCAATTGACCTATGAAGGATTGATAGATGAAGTATTTGGTATCAGAGCCTCACATGTGGAAGTGGATTCTTCGATCGTGGGACCTGCACCAACAACTACAGTAACGTCTACAACTACTAGCACTCCTTCTCAGTCACAACCACCTATTCAACCTCAGTCAAAAAAAAAAAAAATTGCTCTCAATTCTGGTGATAAATTATTTGCCCAATTAAGAGATACAAATTTCGCAGTAGTGGGAGGTGTTCTTAACAGAGTTGCTAAAAGAATAAACGAAGATTATGAGGTTTATTTTATGCTTCCGTATTTCTGTGTTATCGATTAATGAAATTTTTACAGCAATTATATTTATTCATTTGGTATATTTATAGGAAAGAAAAAAAGCTAAAACTATGATACAAATTCGTGAATTCACTAACAGGCTGGGTGGTCTACAATTAGAACATCAATCTTTAAAAATTCGTATCCTTTTTTTACAAGTTGAGTACTTAAATTTTTTCATACTTTTATAATATTTTCCTTAACAAAATGGTCAGATACTGGTATAGCTGAAGAGATAATGGCGCATACTGTTACACCAGAATTCAATAAAGCCCTAGAGGTGCAACAAAGTATATATATTTTTTAATCACGACGTTCGTTCCTTATTGTTATTTTTTTTTTTCCATTTGATTTTGGATTTTAATTATTTTAATCACCATTATCTTTACAGATTTGGTTGCCGGTATAGACGTTAACACACAAAATGAACACATAGAGGAAATGATCAATCGGCAGGTTCCAATTACTCAAGTTTTACGATTATTATGTCTACAAAGTCTCGTAAACGGTGGATTGAAGCAAAAGAGTATCGAATTTTTCAAAAAAGAAATACTACAGGTACAGGAGACTATTACTAAAACAAGTTTCATTTTTAATCATTAAAAAAAAATGACAGTTATTATCAATGCACCAATATAGACATACGGGTTCGAACACATTCAAACGTTACTGAATCTTGAACGTCTTAACATGCTCTGTAAACAATCGTCTAGTCGCAATCCATATGCTTCTATTCGTAAAATTTTACGATTAATTGTGGATGAAGTTGAAGAACATAATCCTCAGGATATAGCATATGTATATTCTGGATATGCTCCTTTAAGTGTACGTTTGATACAATGCGCGACGACCAAGAGTGGATCACCCTCAACTGGCAATGGGTGGAAAGGATATGAAGATGTGTTGAGAATGTTACCAGGTAAAACTTTCGATGAAGTACAGAAGCCAGAGGAAGGAGCAATACGTTCCAAAAGTAAGTACACACCATATTTGATTTGTAAATATACCGTAATCTAACTTTTATCGGATTAGGAATGGTACAAGGACAGAATCCACGCGTCACGCTTGTATTCTTCTTGGGTGGATGCACATATACGGAAATCTCTGCAATACGCTTTTTAGCACAACAAGATGATGGTATAATTTTTACTTTACTCTATTCCATTGTTCAGAGCGAGGCGGAGTACTTGCATTTTGCTTCGGACAACAATTTCTATTTTTCTAGTTTATTACAAACTGCTAATGATGCATTTATTAAAATTATTTTAGGTCAGCGAGAATATGTCATCGCTACCACGCAAATTATCAATGGAAATTCTTTATTGAATTCAATAATGTCTTAAAAAATAAAGCCGCTAAGTTATAGTGAATAGGTTTGGTTACAAATTAGCGGCTCTTTATTTATTGTATTTTAGATAAAAAGTTATTGACTTTTAGAATTTGTTTTTTAAGTGTAGCTATTAGAGATGTGCCCACGCGCGAGATGCTGGCATCATCCTCGCGCGAAATAAATTTTAATAAAGAAAATTTTAGTGATATTGATAAAACGCAAATGGGGGGTTATTTTTTTTTTGATAACAAAAAAAATAAATAAAAAAAATAAAGCTATCACTAAACCTATAATTTGCTAAACTCAATTTCGGCATGTTATCTCACATTTCGCGAGAGTCATATGATATGCGAAATATATGCTAGGTTTATCGCGCGAGAGGCACATCTATAGTATCTACAGGAATATTCGTTATATAAAATATATATGTACTAACACAATTTGATGCGATGTAGAAATTTATTGTATAATGATAAATTTGTTAAATTCATCGTAAATAAATGTTATTTATTCTGAACCTTCAATGTGCTAAAATCAGAGTTCGTTGTATAGGTTTCGATATAAAATGTTTTACCCTATCATTATAGTAAATATGTCACGTGTCGTACAGGCGAACACGTTAATAAAAGTGTGCTTGGGATATAAGTTGTCAGATATGCTATAGACAATATTTTCACTAATTACCGATTTTACGACGAATTTCACCAGTTGCACCCATAGAATGAATGAGCAAATCTCAGATAATTACTAAGAGTCGAGAGGAAGTTTCAGTGGCAGAGATAATAAGGCTAGTTGAGGCTTGTTTGATTTTGAGTCCTAGTTCTTGGACTATTTTGTGAGCAATCATATTAATAGATGCTTTGCTATCTACAATAGCTTGGTAAGGTTTGTTTCTAATTTTGATGTTGCATTTGACAGGTTTAGTGGTTGGTTCAGAAATGATGGCAAGGGATTTTGCTTTTTACTTAGGTAAGCAGAGAGAGCACTTCGGATAGAAGAATTATTTAACAGAGTTTTTTATTTCTTTTGATTATGGGAGAAGAGTGTTTGGAGTTTTGGTTAAGATAGTTGATATTACAATAATAAGGAGAAGATAAGTGATGAGAGAATCATTTAGAGTTTTTAGTATAGGAGTAGTAGCTATTTTATTTTCAAAAATAGTCTTGATAGCAAGGATAACTATCATGATTTCTGGATCTATTTTTATTTCTGGATCTGCTTTGGTCAAAAGATCTATAATAATTTCTGTTTTAGCTTTTAGATCGATCATTTTTTTAATTACTATAATAATTTCAAATTTTGTCTCATAATCATAATTGATTTTTTGTTTATTATGATATTGGGTAATAAAATGTCTAATTTGTTTACAATAGTGATAGGTGGATAGTTGTCTAATTTTATTAGTAGTAGTAGGGTTTTTAGTATAGTGTATTGAAGTAAATCAGGTTTTTGTTAAATAAAATTAATATTAAGTTGAGCTATCTGATTATTTAGTTGTTTAATAGTTTGGTCTATATCTATAATAGATGAGAATATAAGTTAGCTATTTTTTAATTGCGAGCAATATTTATAGCAGCATTCAAGTTGGTAAATGTTTTAGCTTGAATATCAATAGCATACTTGGATCTAAGTTCTTAGATAAAAAATTAAAGAATAAAGTCATTATGAAAAGCATCAGTAGGATCTATATAGGTTTATAATCTTTTTTTTTTTTTTAATCTTTGTAATGTTGTGAAAAAGTGAATTTTATTAGATATTTTAGTAGTACATTCTTAGTTAATGAGAGTACATTTAGCTATATGTACAACTTTGATTGTCTATTTAGAAGGTTTTACACTATATGTTATATCTGTAATCTAACTAGAAGATTATCCATTTAAACTCTTTACAATTACACTAGCTCATAATCTTGTACTGTTTTAATGAAAGGTTATACAAATCAATATGTGTTATATTACTTGTATTTTAATTTTATAGATAATTTAGTAGGGTTCTTATATTATCAGATTGCTTTAAAAAAGGTATAGTACATACTTCCTAATCTTTCTATATCTTATACATTTTTAGATTAGGTTTCAAATATCTTTTGCAGCAGCTAAAACCACTACTAATAGTTAATTCGTGATCCGTGTAACAATCAGAGAAATTACTATACTAAATCGGGGATAGGTCATATAGTATATTTAAAAAA